AATTAAGTTTGCAAAAATTTTCATATCGAGACTTAAAATGGAAAAAAAGTGAAAAAAGTGTCTAAAAACCCATTCTAGTGGGCTTTTTTACGAAAAGCAACAGTTCTGAACAGAATATATACAGAAATCATCGTTTAATTAAAAATAAATTTTCAACGTACGTTGTTGTGCAAGCCAAAACAAAACCCGAAAGATCAAGACAAACTCAAACTCAATAGGTATGTTCTATAAATATTTCAACTTCTTTATAATATAATATAATATAAATAAAGTTCAGTAATCTTTTTAAACTTACACAATTACTTTTCATATTTTTCTGTGTTGCTTGAGCTTGAGGCAACGCTTTTGAAACCATAGTTTTCGACGATTATTTAGACAATTTACAGTCTATCGACAACTAAATATTTTTGTTTCAAAAAATAAAAAACCTTCGTTTACATCAAAGAAAAACGAAACCCGACGAAGAAAGAACTATCATTTTGTAATCTTATAAGATATTAGCAAAACAGTGACAGTAGTGACGTTCAAAGCATGCAAAAATGTTTTATGAGTAAATTTCGAGAAACCGGCGAAAATACAGAAATACTTTGTTTACAAGGCTGCACGATTTTCACCGTTTTTGTAACTGCACATTTGCTTTGACAGTTTGTGCCTTCAAAAAACTCAAAATCTATCCCCAAACTACAAATTAGACAACAAGATACACGTTTTGACGATGAAAACGTAGCTTTAGCTTTGTTTATACTTTGTAGTTTGCACTCCTAGTCAAATTCAAACATGGCGGATTTATAAGGGCACGCATGAGAAAAAGTGGAGACATGATTCGTGATCAAGTACGCATTCTATATCTATTATTTCTATGTGTTCGAGGTATCATTCCGAATAAGTTTTAGAATACCATAGCTTGTAGCGATGCGGCGTCTTGGTTTTAAAATTCCCTGTTTTCAGGCAAATTTAAAATGCCATTCCAGCCATTGAAAGCCATTTAACAAAGAAAAAACCACGAAATTTTGCGAAATATCTGTCTTTTTATATCGCCATTTTGAAAACATTCGAAGGAGTAGCCGCTGACTAACAACTGCGACATAAACAGGCTCTTAAACAAAGCAAATAGCGGGAAATGCGAATTGTTAAATCTAATTTGAACTTCTAATTTTTAAAAAGTTTGGAAAGTTGAGAAAATATAGTGCTAAGGAAATAATTTTTGTATTTTGAAACTGATACAACTTCCTTAGCAAGTCTTAGATCTTAAAATGTCTGATACTCCTCCAAAGCATATATAACAGAACGTATAAATTTACCTTTCCTCGTCGGTTTCTTCGCGAAATTACCCGCTCAAACTTGAACAACTCACTCGACGATCGACTTCGCGGCCTTTCTTTTATTGGATCTCGTTGTTGAATATTCACAAAAATCAGCTGCGCTCAAGTTATTCAACTCTTTGCGAAAAGACATTGTTGATTTTTTATGTTTACTACCGAAGTCACGCGAACGTCATGCACACGCGTGGGACATTTTTTGCGCCCGCAATCTGAAACGCTGACTGTCCGAGATTTCTAGCCATGAGCAAGCACGGTTTGCACGAGTTCCGTAAAATTCCAATTTTATGACAAAAATTTCATAATATCTTGCTATAATCCTTTATAAATATGATAAGTGAACCCCAGTTGTGCTGGACTGGAAATATTGAACAACTAAAACTTTTCGTGAACGAAAATATCAAATTAAACGACGGCAATTGGATTTCGCCAGGAGGAGACAAAAAAGTATATAGCGATGGTACTACATCTATATCATGGCAAAAAAGTAAGAAAATTCTACAAATTGAAGGTAAAGAGAAGAAACAAATAATAGCAAAGTTATGCTCATTGATATGTAGCGTACAGACTAACATAGTGACAAACGAAGCTGTAGCTACAACTACAAGCGACGAAAATGGTGTCTCCCCTCTCACAACATAAAACTTGTCTGTCGAACTTGAAGGCGCTAAACTCGACATAGCAATTGCAGAAAGGGATATTCTCATAAACAAAGATATAATAAATAATGTTGATAACCACCTTAACAAAATAAATGCTGAATTTGACGATTTTAGTCAACAACTTGAATATTAATTGTTTTTGTTTGTGGAAACACCACGTAAATTTATTACTGCAAAGCTTTCGATCCGTAAGCCCGGATCTTCATCAGTGCTAATAATATGTGACTTGTTTAATTCACACGCTCTTTTTATATACAAGAGTGTCGTGATCTGTTGGCTCGCGTCATTTGAAATTTAATTAAACGGTACATCAACCACGTCATTTCAAACGTAGTGAAGTGATTCCAATTAACGCGCGCGCACATCCAAGACAAGAGAAATTAATTTTGCACATTAAAGAGAGCACGCCACGTACTATCTAGTGGCTTTCCCTCCTGATCTATAGTATTGTGCTTCTCGATTTCAATTGATTCTTTCATTTTGCGAGAGAACTTATGACTATCAATCGCCAAAATGGTTGCTTCGTCCCATTTTATACGATGGTCGTAAGTCCAAGTATATGTTTAGCCAGAGCAGATTTATCTTGCTCGGCTTTCTCGCACAGTGATTCGTCTTGTGTTCCTTAAGACGTACTGAGAGATTTCGACCAGTTTCACCAATGTAAACCAGACCACATTCACAAGGAATGCGGTACACACCAGGTTTCTGAGATTCATTTACGTTGTCCTTATGTGTGCAAAGAGCTCGAAACAATTTGTTTTCGCTGGAATGGTATACCTTTATAGTAGCTGGTCTCATGGACTAGATAATTTACAAAAGTTTCTAGACCACATTAATAGTTTGCATCCATTGATCAAGTTTACTTTTGAAGTACAGAAGGATGATAAAACTATACCGTTCTTAGATGTTCTTTTCACTATACATGATGATGGGTCGCTAGGACATATAAGGTTTATAGAAAACCAATACGTACACACAGGCAGTGCTGTAACAGTTACAGTTTATTTGTAACTAGTTACAGTTATAGTTACATTAGCAAAAACATAACTATAGTTACCGATACAAGTTACAGACGCCAAAGTGTAACTAGTTACAGTTACAAAGTTGCAATATATTTTTTTGTAACTTAGTTACAAAGTTACAAGTTACATTTATTGATTGCAATTAAGACTCCGTGACGCATACAATTCGAACGGGCCGAATGGTAATGAAACTTGCGGCAAAATTATTGGCAAAATTAATAACTATTTACTAGATGTATCTGCATGCATCTGTAAAATTCCACCAAATCGATTTTTTAATAGAATTGTAAATTTAAAAAACTCAGCTATTATACAGTCTGAACGAAATAGATTGAAAAAAATATCAAATATCCCTCACTGCTAGTGACTTCTGACTTCGCAATGAAAAAGCAGAAACGTGAATACGTGATCATGACTGGGCCAAGGCCAAGTGAAATGAGGCCAAAGACCAAATATGACGAGGCCAAGGCCCAAGTGAAGGCGAGCGACGGCATTCCGATCAGTTCCAACTGTACGTAAATTTGCCGTCAATCCTTGACTTAAATTTATGTCTTGAACGGATTCTGTTGTGTCAGATTAAATTATTCCTGTACAGATGATTAAGAGCTTGCCTGACTGTGTATTGATTTATTTCATTTTAAAAAGTACACAAATAGCAACGAACAAAATGTAACTTGTAACTTTGGCAAAATAACTTGTAATCGTTTCAATTTTATGGCATTTTTTGTAACTAGTTACCGTTACAGTTACATGTTCTCAAAATGTAACAAGTTACCGTTACCGTTACCGTTACTTGTAATTAGTTACTTTTAACGAAGTTACTTACAGCACTGCAGACAGGTATCTGCATTATAATTCATTTCATCATCCTAGTATTAAAAACTCTGTGTGCAAGACGCTCATCAACCGAGCGAAAACAATTTGTGAGGTAAGTAACATTGACGATGAATTAGAACATTTAAGAAATGTTCTAAAAATGAATGGTTACCCACGGCATTTCATGGATAATGCTATGAAAACGCCACAAAGTATACAGCAGAAGATTGAATATTAGTCGTCTGTTTGTCTACCATACATTGGTCCGGCTTCACACAAAATCGAAAGAATTTTGAGGAATGAAGCAGGTATAAAGGTATACCATTCCAGCGAAAACAAATTGTTTCGAGCTCTTTGCACACATAAGGACAACGTAAATGAATCTCAGAAACCTGGTGTGTACCGCATTCCTTGTGAATGTGGTCTGGTTTACATTGGTGAAACTGGTCGAAATCTCTCAGTACGTCTTAAGGAACACAAGCTAGACGAATTGCGAGAAAGCCGAGCAAGATAAATCTGCTGTGGCTAAACATACTTGGACTTACGACCATCGTATAAAATGGGACGAAGCAACCATTTTGGCGATTGATAGTCATAAGTTCTCTCGCAAAATGAGAGAGTCAATTGAAATCGAGAAGCACAATACTATAGATCAGGAGGGAAAGCCACTAGATAGTACGTGGCGTGCTCTCTTTAATGTGCAAAATTAATTTCTCTTGTCTTGGATGCGCGCGCGCGTTAATTGGAATCACTTCACTACGTTTGAAATGACGTGGTTGATGTACCGTTTAATTATTAAATTTCAAATGACGCGAGCCAACAGATCACGACACTCTTGTATATAAAAAGAGCGTGTGAATTAAACAAGTCACATATTATTAGCACTGCATGATAAAGATCCGGGCTTACGGATCGAAAGCTTTGCAGTAATAAATTTACGTGGTGTTTCCACAAACAAAAACAATTATATTTTATCGCCATGCAAACATTCAAAGAACTTATAACTTGAATATTTCAAGAAAGAAATTTATATGTTACGCAACGGTCATATTGTAAAACCCCCATTTGAATATCAGACCATATGGCTATTCACACGAAACTGTCCCTTGTTAGGCCTCGTCCATCAAGGCTTAAAAAACAATTTCGCAAACTTCGGAGTGTTGATGCTGCTGCTTTTCGAAATGATGTTATTACATCCGCCCAGCGTACAACGTTGTTACGTTGATGAGCTATGTGATCAGTATGACAGTGAACTGCGCAGGATTGTTAACACCCATGCTCCGTTAAAGACTTGTTTGATAACCTCACGACCGGCTGCACCCTGGTATTCTGAAGAAATCTCCATAGAAAAATGCCAACGCCGTCGGCTTGAAAGACGTTGGCGTAAATCTGGTTTGGAAGTTGATAAACAACAGCACGCGGATCAATGCAGACGGGTTAGGGAACTTATCAAATCATTAAAGATGAATTACTTTTCTGCCATTATTGTTGAAAACAAATCAAATCATAAGATCTTATTTAGTACAATAGACCGAATGTTACACCGTACACCTGAGAAACATTACCCCACATGTGGTTCTACTGCTAAACTGTGCAACAAATTTGCTGATTTTTTTACACAGAAAATAGTGACCATAAGGCACAATATAGACGCAATGACGATAAATGATACCACGAAATATGATCAATTTGATAATGCCACTATTAATTGTGAGCTGACTGAACTTTCTCCAACTTCAGAAGAGAAACTTTCTGGTTTAGTAAAGAAGATTGCCTCCAAATCGTGTTGTTTAAGTTGTTAGATCCTATACCAGCATCACTTCTATTATTCGAAGTAGTGTAGTGAACATGTCATTTGAGTCAACTGTAGTACCTAGCTCCATAAAGAAGGCGGTGTTGTGTCCCTCATTATGAAGAAAGTGTCTTTGGATTTTGAAATATTTGCTAACTTTAGGCCGGTTTCAAATTTGAAATTTTTGTCTAAGGTTATGGAGAAGGTTGCAGCAGCACGTTTATGGGACTACTTGTGTGAAAATGATTCGAATGAGATTTTTCAGTCAGCATACAAAAAGCATCACAGCTGTGAAACTGCACTTACGCGTGTTCAAAATGATATATTAACAGCTATTGATAACAGGCAATGTGTTGCTCTTGTACTGCTAGATCTATCAGCAGCTTTCGACACTGTAGACCACAAAATCTTGTTGCATAGACTGCAATATAAATTTGGCATAAAAGGTAAAGCATATGAATGGTTTCGCTCATATCTCACAGGTCGTACTCAATCGGTTCGGATTGATGGAACTGATTCGTCAGTCTGTCCCCTTACTTGTGGAGTACCACAGGGGTCAGTTCTGGGAACCTTGTTGTTTTTATTATATACTTCGCCATTAGGAGATTTAATCCGGAAGCATGATAATTATGTCGTTTCACTTATATGCGGATGATGACCAACTCTACATTACGTTTGCGTGTAATGATGATGTGGAACTTTATTCTATCATTTCTCGATTAGAATCCTGTCTAGCTGACATCAACAACTACCCTGGGTTCAGAGGTTTTCTGGAGGCGACGAGGCGGAGAAAACCAAACTCCAAATTTATACTGATGACAAATTGACAATCGGCAAATCCGTCTATTCTAAGCAGTTTCAAGTTACAAATTCAAAATACAAGCAACAATCGAGTACATATTTTAATACTTGCATGTAAAATATAAAGTAATGACAGTTTATATTGAATTATTACTTTCAGGTTTGACGATACAGAACGTTCTATATCTGTTTGGGACTTTATATTGTGTATATTTACGTATAAAATACAATATATAATATATTTAGCCCAAATGCCTTGCCACGACTGAATTTTTGTTCATAAATATTCATGAATTCCACAATTTGGGCTACACAATTTTAAAACAAACTACATGAAAAACAATTGAACATAGGCTGTACAGCACAAGACGACCACATACACACGACAAAATTCCGCTCAAATCTCAATTAATTATACTCGACATATACAGAATCATCGCATCATCATAGCGTGATATTAATATGTCTGCAATGATCGACGCCATTTGATCTAACTGTTTAGGAATAACATGAACTTCATCTGAGACGACAACCAACAAATTCTCCTCATAAACGTTTCCACGAACAATCGCTTTTTGTTAACGAAATGCACTCACTTGTGGAACAGTCATCCTCGTTCCTAGGAGCAAACGTTTATTGATATTTGCCGATAAGCCTCGATAAACCAATCAGATGTCTAGGGTCAAAATCTGACCCTAGGCATCTGATTGGTTCGGCGAAATCAATCAATCAACAGATCGCGCCCAGGGGGTTTCCAATTTGGCCAGCACCGCCTGAGTGCAGGCTACAGCTTCAGCAAAACAGGAAACCCCATGATCCAGGGTAATCAACAACTGGTGACTTGTAACAAACTGAAATTAAATGCAGATAAAATGGACTTTCTAATTTTTCATTCCAAATTTAGACCAATGTCTTTGTTGCCGTCTATCACTGTTGGAAATGAAATTATTCAACCCAAAGGCAAAGCACGCAATATAGGGGTAACATTTGACACTACCTTAAAATGTCTTATCATGTAAACGACGTAGTTAAATGAGCATTTTATCATCTTAGAAATATTGCTAAGATTAGAAAGTACATTAGTAGCTATTAGTGGTCACATTGCTGAAGTTCTTATTCACTCCTTCGTCACCTCAAAGCTTGACTTTTGTAACTCGTTGTTCTATGGTCTCCCCATGCAAATATGAAATTAATAAACTGCAAAATGTTCAGAATGCAGCAGCTCGCGCCGAGTTATAACTTGTCTCAGTGCGTAAATACGATCATATAACTCCAACTCTCAGGATGCTTCACTAGTTTGGCGTACAGCAAAGAATCATTTTTAAGATCAATTTGATGTGCTTTAAAATAATGAACAACATGGCTCCGACATATTTGCAAGATCTTTTATGTCACCATCAGCCGGCAAGGTATCTTCCATTGTCCTTAGACAAATGGCGTTTTGCAGAACAACATTATAATTTAAAGACATATGGCTACAGGGCCTTTTCAGTTGCAGCACCGAGAATTTGGAACAAGCTCCCAATGAACATTAGATCGATTATAGTAACATCAACATTTTTAAATCTGAATTGAAAACACATCTTTTTAAACAAACTTACGATTTGTAATTACTTTTAGGTTTTAATTATCATTCTTTGTACCTCATTAGTTGTTTTTAACATTTATTTTATAACAAAATCGACTGTAAATATAGATAATAATTTTGTAAATGTAATATGACATTGTAAAGCGCTTAGGACAGCAATGTATAGGCGCTATATAAATATCATTATTATTATTATTATATTCTAATTTGGCAGACAAAAATCACTCAAGTGAAAAAAGTGATTGTCTTGATAAAATAACTAGCACAACAGATTCAGCTATAAATGTAGATTCACATTCCAAAGCACGAGGAAATCAAGTCAAGACCCGCTCTACTCAAACACGAAATGTGCAATAAAACTATCTGAAAACAGAACACCGTTTTTCCCTTACAAAAAGGGAGTCACGATCTCCCAAAAATGTTTCAACAAACACAATCAGATCCACTTTTATTACCAAATGGGACTACTATCAACAGCCTACTCTATGCGGATGATCTCATTATACTTTCACGATCAAAATCAGGTTTACAAAACTGTCTAAACCAAATAAATTAATGGTGTAGTAAATGGCTAATGGAAGTCAATATCAAGAAAACAAAAATTATGATTTTTCAAAAACACAACTCCAAATTACCAAACCTTCATTTCCACATTGGAAATAAAAGATAGATATAGTCAAAGAATATACCTATCTTGGTCTCAAACTAGTACTAAATGGGAAATTTAAGGTCGCACAGCAAAAACTAAGCGAAAAAGCTTTGCATGCTCTTTATAAAATTCGTAAAAATCTAGATTTTCATAAACTTTCACCAAAAACAGCAACAAAAATTTTCGACTTAATAATTTCCCCCATTCTACTGTATAACTCAGAAGTCTGGGGAGCATACGAAAAAAATGATCTGAATAAATGGGTAATTCAGAAACTGAGAAAATTTATTTAAGATTCTGCAAGCTATATCTGGGTGTTAACAGAAGAGCCAGTAACGTGGCTTGCAGAAATGAACTTGGGAAATACCCCGACTGCTGATTACAATAAAAAAGAATATACTAAACTATTTTAAACATATTCTTAAACTAGACGACAACTCAATCGTTAAACAATCCTTCCTAATGTCTAAACAACTATTTGAAAAAGGCAAAGAATCTTTCTATACCAACGCAATAAACATGCTAAAATCATTCTATGATAATATAACAAACTTGGAAAGTGATATAATCAACTACGATACAAAAACTATTGTAAATAAGATGAAAGATAAATATTTTGAATTTTGGCGGCATAAAATGATTAACTCCTCCAAACTATCTTTCTTTTGTACATTTAAAAACCAGTACAAAATGGAAGAATATTTATCCCTTATTGATAACCCAACGATTAGAAGAACATTTTCTCAATATAGAGTAAGTAATCATAAATTGCAAATTGAGCGAGGAAGATACGAAAATGTTTCTCGTGAACAACGTTTTTGTAAACTTTGCAACACTGGTGAAGTGGAAACGAATATCACTTAGCCTTATCTTGCCCGAAATACGAAGAATTAAGAAATAATTCTAACAACATTCTCAAAAATCTATTTTATCTCAATAACACAAATAACACAAACAAAAACTGCTCGAGCATTCGATGTCTTCAGACAATCCAGTTCTTGTTAACCTGCTTTCTAATTATATCTTTCACTGTTTTTTGGAGAGAGATAAAAGCCTCAAATCCATGGAAGATTAGGGATAACAATTAGACTAAAAATCCCTTAGATAAATAATAAAACAAAATAAACAAAAAAAAACATTATATATCTTTAAATTATATACTATTTTCCTATTTGTAAATAGCTTCTTACTATATATTTTAATAGTTATAGCTTCGACATTACTGACATTTTATATATATAATCTACGCTCAGCAATACCTGTAATTAGGTCATGCAAATAAAGCTTTATAAAAATAATAATTAACCTACCAAAAATACCATTCCTTGCCCCTTCCTATCACGAAGGGGTTGGTGTCTTAAAGGCGAAAATTGTGACTTCCTTCGCCCGATTTCAACCATAAATGTAGAAGCACATTTTAAAGTACGGAAACATCCATTCTCGTACCCAGAGCCCTTCTTACGCGCGTTCGACCAAGCACGACGAGGGGCTCTGGCCAAATCCATATCAAACTGGCTTCTGAATGGCCACAACTAAATATATGGTTCATTGTGTAAAATATGAATAATAATCAAGCGCTGGTTTCGTTTTGGATAAAATTGGGAGAAAAGACATTATTAAAGTTGAAATAAGAGCAGTACGGAGCAGTTAGGAAGATTGTTGTTGATAATCGTCCACAAAAGCGGTAGATGTCGCTAATTTTATTTATTTAAATCAATTAGTTGATTGAAATTAATAGGTTAAGACGTGATGCTCTCATAGCAAAAAGTCAGCATATTTTATGGAAGATGCTCGTCGTATTTCCAAATCTGTGATGTAATCAAACAAATCTGTGTTACATGTTCAAAGCTGACGTGCCATCTGAAGAGAAAATATTAAAGCCAAGCAGAATATGAAGTTAATTGTGATGACTATTTTCTTCCTAGAAACCGATTTTTTACAATTTTCAAATGATTTGCAGTATAGTATATCCTATGTATGACTGTTGACTTTTAATAAAACACAAAAAAGCCTACAAATCTGTACAACAGCGACTTAAAATCGAATATAAAATAGTGAGATCTCTCGTGAGTCTCGTCTTCGTATCCGTAGCCATTTATACTGCTTTGGCAACGTTTAAGAGGGAAATATATACTAAAATTTTATCAACATGCATTGAGAACATCACGTCTTACCTACTAATTGATTTAAATAAATAAAATTAGCGAAACCTACCGCTTTTGTGGAGTTTTCCTGGAGAAAAACTTTCAAAACGAAACAAACAAGAAAACCGAGGTGTTTATCCGCGTTTGACGTTGAGCATGCGCAGTGTTTAACCGGATGCCATGTTTTTATGGTATCCGGTTATGGATTTGGCCAGAGCCACTCGTCGGGCTAGGTCGAACGCGCGTAAGAAGGGCTCTGGTTACGAGAATGGGAAACATCATGTTAATCAACCTATCAAAAATAACATTCCCAGTCCCTTCCTGTCACGAAGGGGCATCCATTAGACAAGAAAATCTGGTCAATCGTTTGACGTGCCCCACACATCCATAGAGCAGTACGACCGACAAAGCATTTCATATACTGACCCCGTAGCTGATCAAATACCTAGAACAAATAATATCCAAGTTTGGACAACTAGACGGCAAATTAACTTACATAATCGTTTAAACAGTACCCCTGCATACACAAACGAAAGGTTCGTAAAATTTGATAAAAATTCCTATTGAACCATAAAAATTGGAGACTAGGTTGCCCAAATGCCCAAAGATACCCACTATCATTTTTCCTTTCAAATGTCAGATCACTTCTGCCGAAAGTTGATGAATTAGATGCTATTCTTAAATTAAATCATGCCAGTTTGACTTTTATCACAGAAACATGGCTAAACGAAAACATTGACGACGCCTCAGTCCAAATACATGGCTACTCCTTGATACGTCGTAATAGAAAATCTAGGACTGGAGGAGGGGGGTGTGCTTATATAAAGTCACAGCTTCCCTTTAAAATTCTAACTTGTTTGCAAGATGTTTGTTTCGAAACTCTGTGGCTTTACCTAAGAACTCACAAACTGTACCGAGGATTCTCATGTTTGGTTGTCTGTGTGGTTTACCACCCACCATCCAGCGACAACAACACACTAATCGAACACCTTACCATAAAGCTTGATGTTGCCCTCTCCATGTACCCAAATGCTGGCATAATATTAGTTGGGGATTTTAACAAATGTCCAGTTTCCACAATACTCAGACATTTTACTTTAAAACAGATTGTTAAACAACCTACGAGAGGGAATGCTATTTTGGATTTAATTTTGACAAACATGTCAGACTTTTGTAACATCCCCTTGGTAATCCCACCCGTTGGGCGCAGCGACCACAATTCAGTGTTGTGCTCATACATGTATAAGGAAGGTTGAACTAAAAATGCCCATACGAAAGTAAAAATCAGACAGGAAAATAATGCTGCAAAAACTGCTTTTGGAAAGTGGTTAACCGATTTTAATTGGACCATTTTATACCGCACTATTTCTTGTGAACAAAAATTAGACCTCTTCCAAGACATCATAAATGCCGGATTGGATTGTTTCCTTCCGATAAAAACTGTAAAATTACATGATAATGACAAACCTTGGGTAACTCCTAAATTTCAGAAAATTATCGGAACCAGACAAAAGGCATTCCATCATGGAAAAAGTCCACATTATCAGCAGTTACGAAATCAGATAAACAGAGAAAGTAAGAAGCTCAGATCCACATTTCTTGAGAAAAAGTTAGAACAGTTAAAGCTAAACCCTAACCCAAAACAGTGGTGGCAATCAATAAAACAGTTATCAGGATATCCTAAGAAGAAAGTTCTTTCAACTCTTGTCGTGGGAAATCAGGTGATGTCAGGAAAAGCAAAAAAAACAACAACAAAAAACCCAATACCAGCCGACAATTTCAAAAAATATAATACAAAACATAATCCGAAGATAAGCATCTTGAAACCCAAAATATGAGTCAAACAAGAAAGTGAGTGAGTAATATTTCGATTTTATTACAATATCATCATCAGACTGATGATGATTTTGTAATAAAATCGAAATATTACTCACTCACTTTCTTGTTTATTATTATTATTAAATATATTTACTGATTTTGTAACCGAAGGTTAAATTACATCAGCTATACTACAAATAATTAAATATAAAGGAGTAAACTACTATTTACAATTTAATTTCGAAATAATTTGTGGTAAGAAGGATTTTCTAAAACGTTCTGTTTTACAATAATAATTATTATATTTACAATTTCCCCTCGTATCATAGACCGAAGAGGATTTATTAGGTAAAAATTCATCCAATTTTTGAAGGTTCTCATCTCTCAAAAAGAACTGTTCGCATAAAATCTCACGTCGTTCCTTCAAGGATGGAATATTAATAAGTTCGCGTGCATCGTTATAGCTAAGTTCTGGTAAAATAATTTTCAAAGCTCTTCTTTGAACCCTTTCAATATCATCACTCAAATAACCTGGAATGTTGAAGTGCCAAACTTGGCAAGCGTATTCTAAGACTGGCCTTATAATAGTGGTAAATGCGATGGATAACATTCTAGTGTCAGCGTTGGCTCGTTTCAATAACCTAAGCATATACAATCTTTTCCCAGATTTCTTAACAATTTTATTAACGTGTTCATTCCAATTCATTTTGGTTTGGATCGTAACGCCAAGAATTTGGGCAGAATTTACACGTTCAACCTCAGTGTTCTCGATTAATAATGCTGGAAAATTCCGTTTTACCCTACCAAAGTCAAGGATCATTTCTTTACATTTAGTGACATTAAGTTTCATATTATTTGTAACCGTCCAATTATAAATATAGTCGACGAGATCCTGAAGATTACTGCTACAATCAACCATGACACTTTCAGTAGCCGTACTATCATCTACATACTTCCATCGGTCGGGCCATTCATCGAGGAGATCGTTGATCATAACCAAAAAAAGAACAGGACCCAAAACAGTTCCCTGCGGTACTCCTCCATTTAAAACTTTCCAACTCGAAGACCAACTACCCAGCTTCACACATTGCCTCCGTCCAGTTAAAAAAACCTTTAATCCAATTAAAAATAGTTGGGGGAACGTTCAATTCCAATAATTTATGCAACAAAATGTTGTGGTCTATCAGGTCGAAAGCCTTAGAAAAGTCAAGAAGAAACACTCTAACGGCGCACTTTGACGCATCAGTTTCCTTTAATAAGTGATGTACCAAACTAATTAAATTATGAGTCGTTGAAGAATTCTTCAAAGAGCCAAATTGCCTCTTATCAATTTTGTTCTTGATTGAACTAATCAACCAATCAGATACAAACGATTCGCAGATTTTGGACAAAGTAGGTGTCAATGAAATAGGACGCAAATCGGTTGTTATGTCTGCAGGTACCGATATTTTTGGTATTGGAATAACTTCAGCGTCTTTCCATACTGCAGGAACGTGCTGTTGCTGTATCGAAGCATTAAAAAGTGAGGCAATTGGTAAGGCTAAGATATAAGCATAATGTTTAAGTACCCAATTTGGGATGCCGTCTGAACCTGACGATTTCGAGACACATATATCAGACAATTTATTATACACACTTTCTTCGTCAAATAAATCCCTATTTCGTACTGGTATGAGATGAAAGATATTATTTGTTTCTACAAGATCAAATCTGGACTCTACGACCTAAACCCTGAAGATTATATCGACCACCCTACCCATCATCTGACCCGCTTCAGTTCAACCAACTGCTACAGACCCAACCTTTGCAGAACTGCCCATTTCAGAAGTTCCTTCTTCAACAGAATTGTGGCTCTGTGGAACAACCTTCCTGAAGATCTGAAATCCTCCACCTCTACTGCCT